CGGGGCGTTCCCTGACACAGCGGCAGGGGCAGCTCTCGGTGCCTGTTGTACGGGCGCCGGCCGCAGCGCCCGGCGGGGCCGCTGCGCATCGCGCCCCCAAACTCAGCGCGTAGGCACCGCGTAGGCGCGCAGCGAGCGCGACCGCCCTGCCGGCGAGCGGCACGGCTTGCACGGCGAGCCCTGATGCCTCGCGCTATTTGCACGAGCAGTTCTAGGGGCTATAGATATGTATGCATATATATATATATATATAATACAAAATAAAAAAAAAACCTTTTTTTTTCTTTTTTACTACTTGAAGCAATTTGCAGACACTTCCTCCTCTACACCTGCTGACCACTTTTTGAATGAGTTGGCTGTTCTAAGCCAAACCCGAAAATACTACTACTACTACTAATAATATATATACACATGTAGATTTTTAAAAGCCTTCAGATTTTCTTATTTCTACAAGCAAACACGAGTTCGTCCGGACCGACGTCCCGGCGGAAGGCGCGTTATATTCCAGGGCTGCCTTTCATTGAGCTCTCCCCATGAATGGAGGCAGCTCCCCGCCAGAGGGAGCGCGGAGCGGGAGGGCGCGGAGGGGCGCGGAGGGGATCGGGAGGGGGCACCGTGCCGACCCGCGGATCCCTCCGCGGCTCTCTCCGCGGGAGACCCCGAGAGGCTCCCCCTCTTCCTCCCCCCCCCTCCATCTTGAGTTGCTGGAAGTTGCGCTGCCCGCGGATCAGCCGCGCACAGGCGGAGCCGTGTGTCGCTTCAGGTCGCAAGCCCTTTTGGCCGGGAAAGCCAGGGCGTAAGTCAAAATGCACCTACTACACTGTAGCTACCTGCGTACCTGGGCGGCAGGAGCCACTGTGCTCACTTCACTTCGCTGCGGAAAGAGAGAAGAAATCACTTCCTCCCACGCACTAAAGACAAAAATAGGTAAAGGACTCTTTGTACAAGCTGATACACACAGTCGGTTAGATCACTGACTGCTCGGTGTAAACACACTATATAAATAGTGTATAAACAGGAAGGTTCACGGTGATATTTTTCTTTTTTTTTTTTTTCTTTTAATTTGGCCGCCAGTAGTACAATTTACATGCAAGTTCTCAAGTGTAAGTGTATACATTTAATATAGGTAAGTAGTCAATAGCAGATTTTAAGCCAGTGAAGTTATTTTTAATTCTCAGAGCCAACCGTGTGTGCAAAATGGTGCAACACCAATGTAGCTAAGAAGCAGGAGCAGCATCCTGGTTCTACTGAGTCCAAAAGAGAAAGACCAAACCCACAAAGAGCTGTTCGGGGGCATGATGTGCAGGCAGATAAGCAATAACAGTGCACAAATATGCAAAAATAAGTGTGCCCTCTTAGTTTTTTTTTTTCCCTTATTGAAACCCCAGCACTGCTTTCGCAGTCCTTTAATGTGATGGCGCACTGGGACAGATTTTGGTATTTTGGTGGATTACATTTATCATTCGCGTTTCCCATTTCTTGGAATGATTCGTGGCTTGATGCATGTGACCATGTTTCCCCTAGTGGTTTGCTCTAATCACTGCATGATCTTCTGCTTAACCCAAGCTGAAGACCTTGTTCCCTCTGTATGAAGGTCTTGAGGTCATTCTCCGCAGAGGAACATAGCTGCTATATGTGTGCCTATCCACACACTATTTTATTTACATACACACATATTATACACATGCATACACATATATCCTGGTGTTTATATCCTAATATATATGCATGACATGCTACAATAGCAGTTCCGGGGAGTTCAGGCACTTTCGAGGACTTCAGAGATAGTGAGGACTATGACATGAGACCCTTCTGAAGCAGTTGGGAAGATTTTTGCAACATCCTGAAAATGTCTCCTGAGATTTCACTTGATTTAATTTTCAGATCCAGGACCTGAAAAATATGGTATTTTCCCTTTTTTCTTTGTAACAGAAAAGAAAGCTCATTTGCAAAGAACTGATTCTCACAAGGGAATGAAAGTTTAGTGAATTTGCTGACTTTCAGAACATTATGTGCATTATTTCACAGTTAATGCAGGGATATAAAGATATTGATTTTCCACATCCTGAAAGGACTATGTTTGGCTACACACTTCTTCTAATGCCCAGTATTTCCTTAGAAACATAAACCTTGATTTTCTTTCATGTTTGTAACTCTAAAAAAGGAAACATGCATAAGAAAACTACAGGATTTTTTTTTGGGGGGGGGTATTAATTTGTGATTTCCTGTGGAGCTTTTTGCCTAGTGATCCTAGGATTGAGATCCTCAGGGCAGACAAGGAGACTTATGTCTCCTCAATGTCCTGTATGTCCTACAGAGAAATGCAGAAGTCAAACCTACCATACGGTGAAATGTTTGCTATTTTTTAATGAAGAAAAAATGTGCCTGTGAATCAGATTAGTTTTGCTTTTTTAGTGATTTTTGCTGTAAATTACAAGAAGGAAACTTCAGAATTCCTTAAAATAATACATCCGTTGTGCTGCGTGGTGGGACAAGGAGCAGTGCTGTTAAATGTGAGAATGGCCTAAACTGGAACAAGTAACTGCAGCTCTGGCTCAGATCACACGTGCTCGACAGGGATTTTGGTCTCCTGGTTTTAGTGATGTTCAGACCTTCTGGGATTAAGCTACTGTTATGCAGATTGAGCTAATCATCTCTGCCCTCCTTAGAGATGATATAGGCCAGATCTTGTGTAACTTCATCCCATCCGATGATTGCCCCAGTGTATCTGGAGGAACTGATGCCAGGAGGATATCTTCTTGTTGAATTTCAAATATATTTATGTAACTTAAAAAAATAAACAAATCCCTTTCCTGATCCTTCTGAAATTATACTAAAGAATATGTACATTTAG